TGTTACGTCAAAGAGCGGAAGGAACTTCAAGTTGCGTGCTCTCTTCGATTCCGGGTCTCAGATCAACCTGGTTTCTGAATCTGCTGTAAAACTGCTAGCGCTTCCGAAGTATCCTGCCAACGTGCCAGTCGTAGGAGTGGGTGGCGCCAGATCTCAAATTCGTCATCGTGTGATCCTGAAGTGTTTCTCCGACTACACCGATTTCCAAGGTGACATGGACTGTTTGGTGACAGCTAGAGTGACAGGAAAGATTCCATCTGTTCCAGTTGACATCTCGGAGTGGAAGTTCCCGAGTGGTATTGTGTTGGCCGATCCAAGCTTCAACGAACCGAGAGAAGTGGACCTACTGATCGGTGCCGAGCTGTTTTTCAAAATCTTGAAACAAGCTCAGCTGAAACTCTCTGATAATCTACCCGTACTGTACGAGACTCAGTTCGGATGGGTTATTGCCGGTGCTTTAGAAGAGTCCGAGGAGGAAGTCGTCAACGTGCTGTGCGCCACAAATGAGGATCTGTTGCTGAAGAGCATTCAGAGGTTTTTCGAGCAAGAAGAACTTCCAGAAGAAAAAGTCCTGACGAATGAAGAGCAAGCGATAGAAGATCACTTCTGCAAAACTTATCGACGAGATGAGGATGGCCGATTCGTGGTTCAACTACCGTTCCGTGAGTCCATCAATGAACTAGGAAACTCCCGATCATTAGCGTTGAAGAGGTTCCTGTCAATTGAGAAACATCTAACCAATAAACCCGAGATGAAAGAGATGTACCAAGAGTTTATGCAGGAGTACAAGGACCTTGGTCATTGCCACGAGATCCGTGAGGAAGACGATCCGCCTGGCCAACAGAGCTACTATTTTCCACATCATGCTGTACTTAAACCTACAAGTACCAGCACAAAGTTACGTGTTGTATTTGACGCCAAGGTGAAATCTAACGGATTATCCCTCAACGAAGTTCTGATGATTGGACCGAAGATTCAGAACGATCTGTTTACAACCCAATTACGTTTCCGGATGCACATATATGCATTTTCTGGAGACGTTGAGAAAATGTTTAGGCAAGTGAAACTTGATCCAAGACAGACACATTACCACAGAACTTTCTGGCGTGACCAACCGATGGACCCGATAAAAGTGATGGAGTTGTTAACGGTGACCTACGGGACGTCTCCTGCATCGTTTTTGGCAGTGAGGTCCATGGTTCAACTAGCGAGAGAGGAAAGAGCCAACTTTCCTGCAGCTGCAGAGGCGATATTAGAGGACTGCTACATGGACGATATATTGAGTGGTGCCCCAACACTTGCATCCGCGAAGCAACTACGAAGTGATATCGAGGAGCTTATGATGAAAGGAAAATTTCCTATCCGAAAATGGTGTACCAACGACGACGAAGTTCTTGAAGGTGTTCCGGATCAAGACCGTGAAAAGCTAGTTCGAATAGGAGATTCTGGTACCAACGAAGCGATTCGAGCTTTAGGTGTTCTGTGGGACCCAAGATGTGATCAGTTCCTGTTTTGGAGAAGCCCGGAAGTGATGCAACCGGATGTGAAGGTGACTAAAAGGTATGTTCTCTCACAAATCGCCAAACTGTTTGATCCCGTTGGCCTCATATCACCTGTGATCGTTTTGGCTAAGTCCATCATGCAGCAATTGTGGGCTGATGGTCTGGGATGGGACGAGACCCTAGAGGGCGAGTTGTTGAGTAGATGGGTGACCTTACATCAGTCATTGGTACAACTGAACGAGATACGAATACCGAGATGTGTTATGGCTCCTGGAGCTCAACGTATTGAGATTCACGGCTTCTCTGATGCGTCGTGTACTGCTTATGGTGCATGCGTTTATTTGCGTTGTGTTCAGAAGGACGGGGCAGTGTCAGTTAGGCTGCTTTGCAGTAAGTCAAGGATTGCCCCTCTGCGTCGTCTCACAATACCTAGATTAGAGCTGTGTGCCGCTGTGGTATTGGCCAAACTGGTTAGTGTAGTGATCCCTATTCTGAAAACCGAATTCCACGATATCAAGCTGTGGTCTGATAGCCAAATTGTGCTGGCATGGATAAAGAAGAATCCGGATCAACTTCAAGTCTACGTCAGAAACCGAGTTTTGGATATTAACAAACTGACTAGTACTTACGAGTGGAAGTACGTCAGATCCGAGAATAATCCTGTGGATTTGGTGTCCAGAGGGTGTTACCCTGGTGTGTTGCATCGTTCTGATATGTGGTGGAATGGTCCACTATTTCTGCAAGATGTTAACTACGATATCCAGGAGACTCCGGTGATTCAAGATGAAGAGTTACCAGAAATGCGAAAAGTTCAAGTGTGTAACCCAGCGGTCGATGTTGAAGACGATCCGGTATTCGAGCGGTGCGGATCGTTTTCCAAGCTGCAACGTGTATTGGCGCAGGTGGTGAGATTCACTCGACTGATACGAATGGAAAAGGAGAATCGTAAACATGCAAGATACATTTCTGTGCAAGACATGCGGAAGGCATTGGATTACATAGTAAGGATTTTGCAGAGGACCGGATTGAACGAGGAGATCCAGTGTGTTCAGCGTAAGGAGTTGCCGAAGCGATTGGCGAATCTTCAACCATTCCTGGACGAAGAAGGTTTCCTTCGCGTCGGCGGGCGTCTACAAAACTCTAAATTACCGTATGACGCCAAGCACCAATTACTTCTTCCACGCAATCACCGAGTGACGGAAATGTTGATTCGTCAATATCACGAGGAGAGACTGCATGAAGGGCCATCCGGTTTGCTGGCAGCAATAAGGCAGAAGTACTGGTTGGTAAATGCTCGATCCGCCATCCGGAAAGTGACTCAAAGCTGCGTAAAGTGTTTCAGGACTAAGCCGAGAGGAATTCAGCCCTTAATGGGAAATTTGCCGGAGGAGCGTGTGAATGTAGCAGCAGCGTTCGAACTCACTGGTGTGGATTACGCCGGCCCAGTGATTGTGAAAGAAGGAAGGTATAAGCCGAAACACGTAAAGGCATACATTGCACTGTTTGTCTGCCTAACAACGAAATCGATTCACCTCGAATTGGTTTCGGATTTGACAACCGAAGCTTTTCTCGCCGCTTTGGATCGTTTTATCAACCGTCGTGGAATGGTTCGTAAAATTATGTCAGATAACGCGACCAATTTTATTGGTGCTTCGAAAGAACTCCACAAATTGTACTTGATGTTCCGTGACGAGACCGCAAGAACGAAGATCAACGATTTTCTGCTCAAACGAGAGATTGAGTGGGAATTCATTCCGCCTAGATCACCCAACTTTGGGGGTTTGTGGGAGGCAGGAGTAAAGGTTGTCAAGTCCCACATATATCGGACTTTGGGCAACGCAATTTTGACGTTTGAGGAGTTCGGAACAGTATTGACCCACATCGAAGCCATAGTGAATTCCCGACCCTTGTATGCACTGTCTGAGGACCCGAACGAGCCGCTTCCGATAACACCTGCTCATTTGATGATTGGAAGACCATTGGAACCGATTTTGAAGCCGTCGTACTCCGATGTAGCAGTGAACCGTCTGTCTCGCTATCAGTATATGAAAAATTTGCGTGATCGGTTTTGGGCAAAGTGGTCGCATGATTATCTATCAACGCTTCAATCGAGGGCAAAGTGGACAAAAAGTGAACCGAATGTGAAAATGGGTACTATTGTGCTACTGATGGAAGACAATCTACCAGTTCAGTCATGGAGGTTGGGTCAAATTGTTGCACTTTACCCGGGAAGGGATGACGTGATCAGAGTCGCCGACGTGAAGACTGCAACGGGAGTATTCCGGCGCTCCATTCGGAAGTTGGCGCCTCTTCCTATTACCGACAACGACCAATCGAAGATTTCCGCTTTTGGAATGGTATTCCAACCGGCGGGAGTATGTACGCGATGAACGCTTCCAATAGGAAAACGAACGACGTCATCGAATGGCGCATCCGGATTGGCTGACGCAGCCGATGAAAGAGTATAAAAGTAAACAACATTGTATTTCATGTTTCATTCTGTATCCTGCATTTAACCATTGAAGAGGAAGAAGCGAATAAATAGAGGTAAAATTGAGAACAGTGTCTCATTCTTTTCGTCCGAGAACGGAGATTTCCCGAGCATTCGTGCTTCGTCCAGTTCCTGTTCGTTCATCCACTGGTTGCATGTGGTGATCGATTCATCTTCCATAAGTTCCACCTAGTGGACACTTTTAAAAGAGTTGAACTTTCCTGTTTCCCTGCTCATCAGAGCCTTGTGTTCGGCAGTTTTGCCGTGGTCCTTCGAGAGAGAGAGAGAGAGAGGTTTACTTCGCTGGTGGCTGTAGTGGTTGGCAGCTCAACGACTGGTGGCTGAAGAGTTATCAGCGACCCATCGTTCCTACGCTGTCCGCTGTGGTGTGCGCAGCCAACGGTGCATTGTCCCTACGCTGGTAGCTGTGGTGTGCACAGCTGTCAGTGGCTCATCGTCCCACTACTGGTGGCTGTGAGGTGCACAGCTGTCGGTGGCTTGATCACGAGTTGTGTCGTGGTCCTTCGTTTGAGAGAGGCATCCCGTCGCTGGTGGCTGTAGCGTGTACAGCCAACGGTGACTCTTCGATCCCGTCGCTGGTGGCTGTGAAGTGCATAGCTGTCGGTGGCTCGATCACAAGGTAGGTTTTCGTCTGTGCTGTTGTGGTAAGGGCAAATGAATCTACCCCAAGAGAAATTGAGTACATAACAGTATTTTTGTTCCCCTTAAATGAGTACCCTTATAAGAATACCATACCTGAACCATAACCCATATGATAGAACTATTCCACAAATGGTTTGGAGGATACCCTGAACATGTCGTTAAGCAAAATAACCGGACAAATTTTATTAGGGTATTCGCCAAACTCTTTGTCGCGCGTGTAATTTGACGTTAACCCTGATTTTTAACGAAATAACAAAACCGCACAGCTCTGCCCGAAGCTCTGATGTCAGTTTGCTTTTCTTTTTGCTGCGATGCACAATAACTGCACCGGGCTGCATCTGAGCTGAAGATGCATCAGTTGAGCAGCAAGCATGCACGTCGTATTTTGTTTTTGTTTTGAAGAAGTTTTCCCTTCGTAAGTTAATCAAGTTATACGAAAATTAAAATAATGAACGATTTCACTCTGAAATCGATCGCAACGGATTTGGTACCGTCCAATTATCTCTCAGTGGCCAACAACGCACGTGTCAATCGAGACAGACAGATAAAAGTGCTGCTGGAAAAGGTATTGAAAATTTAATGTTATAGCAATAATTACCATGATAGTTTACTGTTTTACATAATGGCAGAAGAAGCTTCCGGAGAATGGCTGGGACAATTCCACAATTGAATATTTCGTTAACGAACTGGCCCTTATGGATAGTAACAATTTTCCTAATCGATGTGGCGTTGGTGAACGCGAAGCCAGAGTTGCATGTGGTAGGTATTTTTTCGACACCTTCCTACATACAATATAATTTGGTTTGATTGTTTTTAGAATTAGTTCGCCGTCGACACTACAATTTTGCCCACGGTATAGGGAGATCAGGTAACCTTACAGACGCTCAGCCTAAAGCTGCAGGTTCAACGATTTTGAATAATCTCACAAATGCTTTGGTGCTGGATCTGATTCGGAACATGGGAGTCAGTAGTTGTAAGCGAGCCTTGTTGGTTCCATTGGCCACTGGTATGGCTGTAATGATGACGTTAGTTTCGCTGAAAGCGAAACGACCAAACGCGAGGTACGTCCTGTGGTCCAGAATAGATCAACAATCGTGCTTCAAGAGCATTCAATCTGCTGGTCTCACTCCAATTGTCATAAATACGGTACCGGTGGAGGAAAAAGGAGATCCCGTTGTGGGAACCGATCTAGATACATTTCGGGATAAGATTAGCGAACTAGGTCCTAGTAATGTGTGTTGCGTTCTAGCGACGACTAGTTGCTTTGCACCTCGTACTTGTGATAATATTATAGAACTGGCACGAATATGCCAAGAACAAGACATTCCTCACGTTGTCAACAACGCTTATGGGTTGCAAAGTACCTATCTCACGCATCAATTGGAACAAGCCGGCAGAATTGGGCGAGTAGATGCTTTCATTCAGAGCACGGATAAGAATCTACTGGTCCCCGTTGGAGGTGCTATCATCGCGGGATTTGATAAGACAGTTGTCGACCATGTTTCCAAACTTTACCCTGGAAGAGCGTCAAGTTCACAATGTTTGGACGTGTTAATGACTCTACTGTCACTTGGAAACACTGGTTACAAAAATCTGGTTGTTAAACGAAAGGAACTGCATCAGTATCTACTGAAACAAATGATTGAAGTGGCCGAATGTCACGGTGAATCGGTGATTTCTGGAAAGAATCCCATCTCGATGGCTTTCACTTTAAAGACGTTCGGCCCGAGCCAGCAAATGATTGGATCCATGCTACATAGGAGAGGCGTTTCCGGTTGTCGGGTCGTAACGGGAAAGGATGAAAAATCCATTGCAGGAGTGATGTTTAAGGCATGGGGTGCTCACCAAGACGATGCATGTGGGTCTTATTTGACGGCCAGTGCTGCACTGGGTATCAACGTAGAAGAGATAGACTGTTTCATCAGCAAACTGGAACAGGTCTTGAAGGAAAGGAGAATCAGCGAACCCTCCTAATGACGGTTGTAAACTAATTCCCAATATGAGTTGAGTATTGCATCCTAGAAAACTTAAAAGACCGACAATTTTTCTAGACAAATAAAACCCACTCAATTTATTGATACAAATCTAGCACCACACATTAGTACCCCTCATCAGAAGTGTGAATCTCATAGCCACCGAACTGGGTCAACAGAATCCGTCTCGTTTCCTGGTGATCCGCCTTGCCATAACCCTGCGAGTATCCGTAAACCTTTATCAGCTTCTCCTCTGCCCGATGTTCGATCCGACCCCCACCGAGACACTCCGTCTCCAGTCCCAGTCCAGCCAGTGACGAACTAACCTCATCGTAAATATCCGAATGCCAATTAGCGTGGGCGAATCCACGCACAATGTTCTTGCTTGGCTCGCTGCCATCGGATTTCTCCTTCCCGTAGACTTTGATTAGCACATACTTAAAAATTCCCTCATCGATTTCCACCAACGGAACAGCTTCCAACTTAGCATCGACCATCGTACTCACTTGTCGGACTGTCGGTCCTGCAGATTGTGAAACGATTAATTTTATACAACGCAATAATTCAGTAAAATAAACTCACCAGAAAATGTTCTACCAAAATTTAATCTAAAAATATTCCGAACCAACGAATGCAGCATAACGAAAGCCAAAAGCCGCACACGATTTGATTTGACGTCTAGAAATGTCAAACTGCCGTCAGAGCTGTGCGTCATTTTATCCTCTCCTGATCTTTAACGAAGCGCACGTGCGGAGTTATGGACAGCAAGCGCAAAAGGGAACCAGCATAAATCAGCTAATGTAAACAAAACCGCCGAAAAACATGCTACTCGCTGCTATTTTTTTGCGTAACACATTTTAACTAAAATTTTCTGTAACAAGCAGTGATTAGTGTGACAAAATATGTCGCTCGTGAAGATAAAAGACGCTCCCACCGTTTGGAAGTACCTTAACGGAGTGGTAAATGTGTACAAGCCGGCGGGCCTCACAGTGCAGCAAGTTCGCCACACAATCATCGGGAATCTTTGCCGGGGTAAGCCTCCTACATTTCCATTAAATACCTACTATATTGTTTATACTAATATAACAATGAAAGTGAAATATTTACAAATCGTTGAATTGCATTACATTTTCTAAACTGCTACCCTGGCCATTAGTCTAGAATTCCTGGAAAATGTTTTTAATTTGCGGAGTGATTCCCTGGATTTCGGGAAGAATTTCTATAATAAAATATTATTTTCTTAAAGAAGAATACATACGAATGAAAACGACCCAAAATTTCGACTTGTGACAGCATTGCATGAAACCGTCATCTTCCATCAACAGATCTCAACCAACTGAAGGTCCGGCCTCCGCTGGAGCGAGTCACCATCGAAAGTGGCACCGATTCCAAATATCTCGTCCGTACGACGGAAGACCTCTCCGACAATGTCCTGGTCGTTGGACCTCGCTATCAACCGGAAGACATCCGAATCCGAATGAGCGCCAACCATGGTCGCCTGACGAGTGGCGTTATAGGTAGAATCAACCTTCGGCCATGTTAAAAATGAATCATACTCAATTCCAATCTTTTCGCAGTCATAGGAATTAACAAAGGGCTTTCAATGGCCTACCGAATACAACAGAATCGACCCCTGCGAGTGTACCGAGTGACCGGATTTCTAGGTAAAGCCACCGAAACTCACTTCGGTGATTCGAGGGTAATCGCAAAGGCCACGATGAAGCACATCGGATCGGATAAGATCAATCGATTGCTCGCGTCGCTGCAGGCCTCCCATCAAAAGAAGATGTTCGAACTGTGCGGAGTTGATATGCAGTCGCAAGCTGCTTACGATTTGGCGGTGAAAGGTACCATCCGCCCATCGGCCAATACCCAGCCGATGATCTACGGTATCCGATTGGTAGAGTTTAGGAGACCATTTTTCACCATTGGTATGTACTCTGTCTTTTATCAATTCAATTGCCTTAACATTCATCTAATTTTGCAGAAATACACGCCATCAACGAAACGGAAACCTACCTGGGCAACCTCATCCACGAAATCGGTCTAAACCTAAAATCGGTGGGACACTGCGTCGGTATCCGATGCATCCGGCATGGACATTTTGAGCTGAAAGATTCGCTACTACGCAAAGATTGGAACCTCCAGTGCATGCTGAACAGTATGGCCCAGTCTAACCAGTTGCTCAAACAGCACCCGGAAATGTTGCAACAAATCAATTCCGAGCTTGTCGATCTGGAAGACGATCAACGTCTAGCGGAGGATAAGCAAGGATAAATAAAATCCTATATGTAGAAGCGAAGTAAGTCTCAATCGAACAATGTAATTTATTGATCACCTTTCCTTTCCCAAGTGCGCAAACTGGCACTCGTTTACGACGTTCGATGAGCAATACTTTGCAATGTGATATCAATCACCCTCACACCATTCCCTTTTTCGGGCGTGTCTCGTTCTCAAGGGTGTCGCGCGGTTCCACCGGTATGGTTTATTGCAATGCACTATTCTTCGCATTCGCTTTGATCGCGACGATCTGTGTGTGCAGCAGCAGTTGAATGCACTCAGGCGAATATAAAACAAAAATAGTAGAAAAGAAACTGCCTGCTGGATTCAAAGAGCATCGTGTGCTGGTCCAAATTTTAAACTTTATCATATTACAGGCTTCAGTCGCCCTTATGTTTTAAAATTACTTTTATAGCGTTCCCAATGAGGGCAAGGGCAGTCAAGGAAATCTTCAATCCGAAAAGTTCCTACTACTAGCTTTTACTGACTAAGATAAGGCGTAATAGGGATGGGTGATGCATATATACATGTGACAAGCAATGCATAAGGTATCCGGGGAAAAAAAGATCAAAATATTAGGATGGTTTCAGTTTAAACTTAAATGCTTTTGACGCTCATTTTGGCGTATGAATTGTATTTCAGTTAAGAAGCGTTCGATAGGAGAAAAGCCAATAGTTTTCAGTTATCAAACGATTACAAGGTGAATGATTCATCAGTTACCCAATTTCACCATAACTCATCATCAAGCGAAGTTCCACCCGATGACTCATCCCAATAAAATGCAGTGAAAACGAAGCTAACTCAGAGAATGAGTCACTTTTACTCAGTTGTGAGTCACTTTTACTCATTCGTATGGAGAAATTTCTAAAAGCGTATAGGTCACTCAGCGCATGAGTAAACTACTGTAACAGTGCAAATAAAATTCACGTAATATCCACCGTATTTTCCATCATACTATTCAGGTGAATATTACGTGTTTTGGGCGAGAGATTACATTTAAGTGATTCACATAGAAATCAAGTGATTTTCACGTAACTTTTATCGGACTTTCGGATGATCTTCAAATTGGAATCATTTAAAAGTTACGGAACATTGCTAGTCATACTGGATTATGTAGTAATGATTAAGTGAATTGACGATATTACACTAGATGGATATTTCAAGCTATTTGTTTCATTAAATGAATAAGGGCTATACATTCTTAAGAAATGTTATTTTTTTACTCAGACAGTCTAGCGAACAATAGAATTAACTAATTTACATTATTTACTAATGAACTCGAAGTTAACGTCCGTTTACCGTAGGACCACCCTTGAAGTTCGTCAATTGAATATTGTGAGCACCTTGAATAATCCATTTCCGTGTTCTGTAATTTCATGTTTAATTTTAAAATGAGTGTTAATTTATTAACATTATAAAACTTACGCTCCAAAATGCTTGGGAATCCCACTTCGTCCAACAACGACGAACGCGCACTTTCTACAGTCGCTATTTCTTTTAAATTGCAGGTACAAGAAAATTTTCATATCATGAAATCACGTAAAACTTAAGTGAATTTCACTTAAACTTCGCCAGCGTAACATGGCGACTGGACCCAGTGAAACCAGTGGAATTCATTACCATGCTTTTGAAGGTTATGTGTGGCACGTTAATCTTATTGAATCACTATTTTGGAGAGGTTACTTGAATGTTCTGGAAAAAAAAATACGTTTCCCGTTTGTTTGTTCAGTGTACATTTTTAGAAATTTGTCCATACCTTATGAAAATCTTGGAGTCACGTGTGACGCATAGGACGCCGAGGGGCATCTCAGGGGAAGCATAATATGGTTATCGCTTCTTATTTTAGAATTCTTCGCCTTTTCCGAATGTCTCTCTTCAGTCTTCAGTGGCATATTTCCATCTTGCTGGAAATTTGCGCACATGTTTCCCGTTCACAAAAAGGAAGGAAACGAGCTGTGGATAACTATCGAGGAATTACATCGTTAAGCGCCGTTTCGATGCTATTCGAGCTAGTGATTATGGAACCGTTGCTGTCCCATTGCAAGCAGTATTTAAGTGCTGATCAACATGGGTTTACTGTCGGCCGCTCTACAACCACCAATATGCGGTGTCTCACATCGTATCAGTGTTGGAAAAATCATTTTCAAAAAAAGTTCTATCACAGCTCATTGCAGAGATAAATCCCAAAGGAACTTCTCACAAAAAGTTCGCGAACGAGAGATGATAAAAAGTTCATGAAAGCGTAGAGCGAGAGAAATTTTCATTTCGTATCGCGAAAGATCTTTCGTCTCTCCATCTCACATCATTTCACACGTACTCGTGATTCGAACCAACCAAATATCCTCTCAGCTTTGTTCTTTTTTTCCAGCGAGTAAAGGTAGGCGATGATCACGCGAGAGTGTCTGTTTGTTTTCTTCTCGTTCTCCGATATTTTTCGCATCCTTCACATTAAATACCATTTCCAGAGAACTTTGAGATTTGGGCGTAATTGCTTTTGTAAACAAACACGTCATTCAGCGATTTCTCACGAATCAAAGCACAATCTAGCGAACTATACTATACCAAATGAATCATTCCTCTACCTGTCTGTGTTGTTATTTTTTTATATTGAACTTTAATTCACGAGAAATCGGCGAATTAAGTGTGTGTTTACAAAAGAAATTACGCCCTAATCTCAAAGTTTTCCGGATTTATTTATAGTTTTAGTTCTCAATGCAACCAGCTAATAGTAGATACTTGTAACTATTCACCAAGAGTCTAATCTTTGCTGACCAAATCATCATTTGTGGCTGTACTCTTCGACAAGAAGAACTATGCTATTAGTGCGAAGTACAGTTAGACCACTGAGATTGGCGCTTAGAAATGTTTAGTGTTAGCTAGCAAGCATTCTGTTGATTAGTCTTACTGCATTGAGAACATGCTTATTAGGGTGGTTCAAAATATCGGCTTTGCTTCACTAATTTCAATCGATTTTTAATCAGGTCCAGATAATTCTCCCAAAATTTGAGCTTATTGGGTTGTGATCTCATTCTGCAATGGCCATCTAAAATTTATAAAGGTATTACTATGGGAAAAGTGATTATTTTGTTCACCTCGTCTTTAAATTTCGCCATAATGATCTACCAATAAATTTGCCTTGTGTACTCATAGGAAATTTTCTCAGCTACATTTTTTTTTTTCTAAAGACCACTTTTTAATTTAACGTTGAGGAAATTAGTTATTAATTGATTTCTAATCTGCTAACTTTCTGATTTGATCACTCGACTGCATTAGGAAGAGGACAGCAATGTAACCCAGTAGCTCGCCCGGTAGCTTGAATTTCCACACAACCTTGAATAAAAATATTAAATTTGCTGGTCACTGGCCATAAAGCTACTGTACCTTTTTTCATGGATCTCAAACTGCAAAAAAAAATCTATTAAACATCGATTCTAAAAAAATAGTAAATAGCTCAAGGTACATGGTACTTTGATTAATTTTGTGTTCATTTCCAGCCAACTGGTAATAATTTTTTGTTTTCTTTTTTTTCTGCCTATATTTTTTACAGTTTTAATGGACATTGAATAACCTGTTTAAATTTTTTATCATCCTTAATTGCACACTAAAAAGATGTTTTTGTCAGATCCTTGGTCAGCAAATAAAGCGTTTTGAAGTTCAGCAGTGCAGCAGTCCCGCATACCTTATGGTTTTACATAGGGAGGGTCTAGACCCTTTCTAGTTTTACATTGTTTTACAGGATCCCAGTTCATATCATTCGATTGAAGATGAACCACTACAACCATTCAATCAATTCTGTGTAAACGAATTCTCACATGACCATAATTTGAAGAGCCCCTTTCTCATTCGAAGCTCATTGTCACTGTCAATTGAGTCACTCAGTATCATTTGATATACGACAGTGGAGTATGGAAGAAATCCAGGAAAATGGTCCCGAACAGACAAGTCGACCCGATGTCGGATCAATGTAAGGCTAATTTAAGGTCGATGTCGACCCAATGTCGTGTTAATGTCGGGTCAATTTTGGGTTTATGTCGGGTCGATGTCGGGTCAACATCGGGTTGGGGTTTGATAGAAGTCAGGTTGGTGTCGGGTTGGCTTAGCTTTTTCGCCGGAATGTCGACCAGAGCTCCGTTTGTGTGTAGGTTACACTCAATCGAATGATATATAGCGTTTCTCAAATGAGAATGATCCATGCCTTCGTCAAATGACTAAGCAACTGATATCACCCATTCGGAGGAGGTCCCCTTTGATAGCGAATAGCTACACTGAAAAAAGTTTTCACTTAGTTTCTATTAGGAACGCACTTAGAATTTTTCCAAAAACAAAAACAAAGATTTTTAGCTGAATATCACCTAGCATTAGAAATTCTATATGATAAATCATATAGATTTCATTGGACACATAACGTTCATGTGATTTAGTGGTGCAATTTCCAATTATGGGATCACATGAAAGTTATGTGAAATTCACATGGATATTTTCCACTGGTTATGTGATTTATTTTATGAGTGTACTTTTCTCATTTTCATCAAAAATGTTCAAATGATTTTGAGAATTTACAGCACTGGTAATAGCACAGTGAAAAAGTTCACCACCACCTATACCTATTCCCAACCATCCCCCTGCATATAATTATTGCATAAGAGCTTACAGGAACGATATTACGAACACTAGTGATGAGAGGAGCCATGCATTAACTGTATTTCGTGAAAATGAGGATACATTAGGCGCTCCTCCTTCCGCAACCCCCTATCCTGAGGAACGGTTTTAATATAAAAATTGCTAGTCACAAAATCTTACACTACCCTCCCCGTTCCTCGTTAATGTCGCGTTGACACTTGTGCTGATTCATTCATTTTTTTGCCAGAAACCAATGCACCAATCAATCAGTTGCACAAAACTGTTCACATCATCCTGATAACGGCTACTTTAAACAACAGGCGCCAGTAGACAGCCAGACAGCCAGGTACCAGACTTATCAGTCTTTAGAGATTGTATTGATTTACTCGGGATAGCTTTCTGTCTATAATCTTTCCCTTGTGAAATGTGCAGTGCAATTTTCAAGAACGAATGTGGTGTAAAGAGATAGAGAGAAAAAATGATCTGATATTTTTCGTATCCTCACGTTGGTGATTCGAGTTAAAAAAGTTCGCGATATCTCATTCTCTCATCCCAGAAAGTTCGCTCAGGAAATATTGGAGTGTGAAACTAGTGAGGGAAAGTTCCCAAGAGAAAACGTATCGCAAGCGAAAATGATATTTTGGTGAGAATTCCATCACTGCATCGTATATAACCTAAAGCATGTCAGATCGGGTTCAAACGGACGTTATTTATTCAGACCTATCTGCAGCATTCGACAAGTTGAGCCATCTATTGCGATTGCTGAACTCGGCAGGCTCGGTGTATGCGGTAATCTTCTGAGTTGGTTTCTTACCGGTCGCCAACTAAAGGTTACCATAGCAGATTGCAGATCAGCTAGCTTCTTCGCCACATCAGGTATATATCAGGGAAGCCACATGGGACCGTTGATTTTTATACTCCCCCTTATTCTGCGAGTCACGTGACTCTCTGTCACCGGTGAGGTGACAATTGTCACCTCGTGTGAGGTGACTCTCCATGTAAATCAAATGGAGAGTCACCTCACACGAGGTGACTATTGTCACCTCACCGGTGAGAGAGAGTCACGTGACTCGCAGAATAGGGGGGACTGTACCTCAACGACGTGCATCTGGTCATCGAAGCTCCTCGGTTATCATATGCAGATGACCTCAAAATATTCCTACGAATCCGCTCCGTTGCTGCCTGTCACTTTCTTCAACGTCAACTGAATGTATTCGCTAGTTGGTGCAGTTTAAACAGAATGGTAGTGAACCCAGCCAAATGCTCCGCTATTTACGTTCTCACGAAAACAACAACCGATAATCCCCCTTATTCTGCGAGTCACGTGACTCTCTCTCACCGGTGAGGTGACAATTGTCACCTCGTGTGAGGTGACTCTCCATGCAAATCAAATGGAGAGTCACCTCACCCCTGCATGTTCTGCATGAATCCACACACCCCTGATGTTATCTGTCAAACTTTCATAGCGAATCAAAACAAACATAGTGTAGTAATAGAATTTCAACTAGAATAGGGTACGTTAATCGTTTGCTTGGGACCAATAGGCTACTAAAGTGGTGAGCCAATTTAAAATCGTTAGTTTCGTATTGATTGTTGACACTACTACCAACAATCAATTCGAAACTAACGATTCTAAATTGGCTCACTACTTGACTAGCCTATTGGTCCCAAGCAAATCGATTAACGTACCCCATTCTAGTATAAATTCAAGTACTACACTACACTGAACGAAAACATCCGCAATACTTTGACTGATTATTGTATTGCTCGAGCCCTTTAACAATATGCTGTTGAATTTCGGATGATTCCCTTATGGTTGAATTCGTCATCAACTGATGACCAGCCATATGACCACAAACGAAGTGACAGACGGAGCGGCTCGAAAACTTTGGTGACTAACCTGCTATTTCAATTTTTCAGTGTACCACATGGCAACACCACTACTACTGGATTGTACCACATGGCAACACTACTATTGGATTGAACTAGCATTTTCACCAAATGTACTAGAATATTTTGGTTTTATCTCTTTCACTCTACTTAAAACTGAAATGCATAAAAAAATGACAAAATGAAACGCACTCTTTGCACACTGTCAAAAAATCATTGTACACAAAATCAACTTTGTTCAAATCAAAACAAAAAAACTAACCCATCTGGTGGATGATGGCACAAGCTTCCAAGAAAATTCTATTACAGTGAACCACATTATTTAAATGGATTTCTTCGCCAGTTAGTCGTCTGTCACTTCGTTTGTGATATGACTGTCCTACAAATAAAGGATGACATTTATTTGAAAATTGGCTGTAAAACATACAGGACACAGAGGACAACAATTTAAGAATAGAATGACTTGCAAATGTTTGAGATTAGATTATTAATTCGATTGTTTACATTTCCATATTGAAAAAGCCATGAACAGTCATTCATCATGGATACAAAAATTATGTGTTGGCAGAGGAAGCTTCCTCCACCACAAATAGAAAATTTACGGTTTCCACGCTTTACCAATGTTAGGACCACTTCTGATAGCGATGTCTATGCATACACCTCTTTTGCTCAAAGCAGCAAATGACGTTCGATAGAATTATTTACATCATCGTTTTGAATGATTTGCGTAAAGGGGCTGAACCAATACCAAGTGCATTTCAATTTAAGATGACTATCATTCTGCAGAGAACATTACGGATTCCAACTGAAGGCCCTTTCCCTTCTCATAACAATGTTCGTCCTGTATCCGAGAGCTATCATTCGAAAAGGCGATTTCGATGTTTCGATTTGAATGATCTGAGGTTTCATTCGAACAGCGGACGGTGGTTTGGTACAGTGTATATTTGTTTTGGGACCGAAGATAGTACCAGAGCTGAGCCAAAAAGTTGAGCTCGTTTCTTCGGGACCTTCTGGTCTTAGAGTTACCTACCTTACGCACTACCATCAGATAGGGGAAATTTCCCCCTACCTGATAGTGGTATTAGTATGCGTGTGCGAGCTATCAGTTACGCCAAATTGACGATCAAATGCATTGTTTACAAAAGCTGATACGTCCCTTCGAGAAAGTTATCGAGAAGTCTTGATTTTTAAAATCTGATATCTTAGAAAATGTTCGATAACCTTGTTGAATATTTATGTTCTTTCCAGGTACTTGTAAATAGGGTATATGACGGCTTCGGTACTTATTTACATATTATCGTTAGGGGGGTAAATGAATTTTTGTAGTTTTCATTTTTGGAAAACCTCCATGCAAATCATCGCTCAACGACTTCATTTAACCCCACTGACATTATTCTAAGGTTCAGAAGTTCAAAATCTATCCTTGTGTAGTAGCCGTACTAATCTTCCTTAATTCCCATGTAAAGTAGCATCCAATAATGGGCACATGACTAACATGTGTCAAAACCCAACAATATAGATTCATACTTCCTTGTGTGTGTCCTAGATTTTATGACACACTTTATGTATTCAAAACTGCGACCTCACAGTCAGCAGCTAAACCTTTTCCGTTTTCCGTATTTTGAGACCTTCGTAATTGTTACCACATGAGCATCAACAATAAACTCTATTTTACAAACATTGTCACCAACGCTTCGCTTCGCTCACCGAACTTGCCTTCTCCATATTTCGTTTAAATAAAATCATTCTATGTTCACACCAAGAGTATGACTGACGTCTTACTAAATCCGAACTCCGATCCTGCCTCACTTGTTACAAAATCTGAAAAAAAAAATCATTTCATAATTTTGTTCTAGGTTCTCCAAATCGTCTTGGTCAGACCCCCTCTAATATGTGAGTCGTGTGTACGGCTGATTCCGAGTTGGAAATGGAAAGGTTGCCGAATAAAAAGAGGTTGCCGACAATAGTCACACTCACCTGAGAAGTTTGAAGCGTTGTAAAAAGATTTTCAAACAATTTTGGACGATTCTGTCGATTGAAATGGCTAGAATAATAAGCAGCAGACAAATGTTTGTGCGCGTGACGCTGAGAAATTGCTAATAGAAGTGCGGACGCTGCTTAGATTGGCGACAATACGTACATTCCCCTATATAAGATTTGCTAACAATTTCAACATTTTCTCAAAACTCAAACGATTGCAAATGATAAAATAGTACTTATCGTATACAAAAATGTCCACAGAATCGATGACAGAAGGTATAACAGACGGCAGAGCACGGAAAATGCCCGTTTTAGCCCAATTTTTCCAAGATTGGTGGTGACTCAAACTAAACAGCGTTCTTCTTTCGAGAACAAATCACTATGTACTAGATAGTTGGCCATGAATTATAAGGCCCAAGTATGTAAATCGAGTTGAGCACAAGGGGTAAAGTCACTCAGCACATTGTGCCAAAATTAGATTCGGTACAGCTTGGGCACATCCATCGGCACACCTTCGCAGTGATGCAAAATATCATGACACTCACTCGACACTCTTCAACGCATCAACCGACTGTCGCTGACAGAACGTTTTGTCACGCAGTGAGAGGTAGAGCCATGGCAAACAACAATCACCAGTAGAGGTCGCTGCTTACAGGCAAAACGTAACACTCGCTGCTGATGATGCAAAGCACAACGAAAACAGTGGAGACTTCTGCAGTACGGTGATGGGAAAAAGCGAAACGACAGAAGAAAATGAAAACAATGCCTACGCATTCCAAGATCGTCTCGGCACGCGCGACTGTGTGAGTTACAAACAAAGCTGGCAAAATTAAACGGAAGCTGTTGGGCTCTCTCACCCACACACTCACATAAGCAAGCAAAGCTTCAAGCCGAGCACAGATAAGTGTCCAGATCGGTGATGGATCAACACCGAAAACGACATTCACCCACCAGTTGCTTTTTACTTATTTCGTCAACTTGATGGATGGTCATCGAGTGCTTCGACAAGCACATTGATAGGAATGTTGTACCAAGCGTTACTACCATCAGCTGTTTGACGATCGTGATTGTGATAGGTCGCAACTCTGGACAAAAGTCACCGCGAGTGAGGTGACCGAAGTGACTCTCCGTGCTAATCAAATGGAGTCACCTCAACAGTAAAAGCGATTTACCTCACCTCACTCGCGGCGCAGAATAAGCCTCTTTGGGCCTTATTACGGGTGTCCCTTCACGGTAATACGAAATAAACCAACTTCTAATTTGCACGGAGAGTCTCCTCACTAGTGATAGCGAGTCACCTTACCTGACTCGCGGCGCAAAATAAGAAGGCCTGTTCCTTCGATCGAAATAAGGAAATAGAGGTGGTGAAATAACATGAATTTCACATGCTCTAGGAAATTATTGGGGGTTCAGTGCCCTAAAATAGCACCGGAAGTTCCATCAGCTCCGAATAGCATCCTCAACCGACTGTAGGCGCATGGTCATCATCAACTTGTAAATACAAATGAATTAAAACATAAGTTTAAGATTCTTAACTCGTTTTCGTGTGTTTATTTTGATCCATCTTTCCGGTTTGAGAATACGTCTTTTTGGTTCTTAGCTATTCTTGTGTTTTTCCCTGTCTGCAATAAAAGCCGGATCTATTTCAAGTATTCGATTGCTTCGCTTCCTGACATTTACGCGTTTTAAACTAGGTAGAAAGGGAGGAAAAAATCTAAACTAACAAAAACAAAATTCAATTCGATTGCTTGTTGCAAATAGCGCGGAATGATTTCTGGTTAATAAGTTAAAACTGTTCTTTTATAATCAGTAACAACAATACTGGTTTTGAATCGGAATTGAATCTCGCCAAGTTAAGAATTCAGCCACCTGCTGCTGCTGCTGTTATTGATGTTGTTGACGAGGTCGAATGGTTTAGTCGACTTCCTCGATGGTTGGTCCGGAACCGGTACCGGCTCCTGGAGTAGCACCGGCACCAGGGGCTCCTGGAGCACCACCTGGGAATCCGGGCATGCCTCCTGGAGCACCACCGGCACCCTGGTATAGCTTGGAGATGATGGGGTTGCAGACGGATTCCAGCTCCTTCTGGCGGTGTTCGTACTCTTCCTTGTCGGCCAGCTGGTTGGCATCGAGCCACTTGATGGTGTCGTTGCACTTGTCCATGATGAGAGTCTTGTCGCTGTCGGTGATCTTGTCCTTCAGCTTGTCGTCCTCCATGGTAGCCTTCATGTTGAAGCAGTACGACTCCAGAGCGTTCTTTGCGGAGATGGTTTCCTTCTGCTTTTCGTCCTCGTTGCGGTACTTCTCGGCTTCGTTGACCATACGCTCGATGTCCTCCTTGCTGAGACGGCCCTTGTCGTTGGTGATGGTGATCTTGTTTTCCTTGTTGGTAGACTTCTCGAGGGCCGTAACGTTCAGGATACCGTTGGCATCGATGTCGAAGGTGACCTCAATCTGAGGGACACCGCGGGGAGCTGGTGGGATTCCGGACAGTTCGAACTTGCCGAGCAGGTTGTTGTCCTTGGTCATGGCACGTTCACCTTCGAAGACCTGGATCAGTACACCGGGTTGGTTGTCCGAGTAGGTGGTGAAGGTTTGGGTTTGCTTGGTGGGGATGGTGGTATTGCGCTTGATCAGAACGCTCATGACACCTCCGGCAGTTTCGATACCAAGCGACAGTGGAGTAACGTCAAGCAACAGCAGATCCTGCACTTCCTCGGACTTGTCTCCGTGCAGAATGGCGGCCTGAACAGCGGCGCCATAGGCGACGGCTTCATCGGGATTGATCGACTTGTTCAGTTCCTTACCGTTGAAGAAGTCCTGGAGCAACTTCTGGACCTTCGGGATACGGGTGGATCCACCGACGAGGACAATGTCGTGGATGGTGGACTTGTCCATCTTGGCATCACGGATGGCCTTCTCGACGGGTTCCATCGTGGAACGGAACAGATCGGCGTTCAGTTCCTCGAAACGGGCACGGGTGATCGAGGTGTAGAAGTCGGTACCCTCGAACAGCGAGTCAATCTCGATGCTGGCCTGGGTCGACGAGGACAGCGTACGCTTCGCGCGTTCGCATGCTGTGCGAAGACGACGCAGGGCACGCTTGTTCGTCGACAGATCCTTCTTGTGCTTGCGCTTGAATTCCTGGGCGAAGTGATTCACCAATCGGTTGTCAAAGTCCTCACCACCCAGATGGGTGTCACCGGCGGTGGACTTGACCTCGAAGATACCATCGTCGATGGACAGAATAGACACATCGAAGGTACCGCCACCAAGATCGAAGATGAGCACATTGCGCTCGCCAGCGGTCTTCTTGTCCAGACCATAGGCAATAGCGGCGGCGGTCGGTTCGTTGATGATACGCAACACATTCAGTCCGGAGATGGTACCGGCATCCTTGGTGGCCTGACGCTGCGAATCATTGAAGTAAGCAGGCACTGTCACCACGGCGTTGGACACCGTCTTGCCCAGATAGGCTTCGGCGGTTTCCTTCATCTTGGTCAGCACCATGGAACTGATTTCTTCTGGGAAGAAGTTTTTGGTCTCACCCTTGTATTCAACCTGAATCTTTGGTTTGCCTTCGACCGAGACGACTTCGAACGGCCAGTGCTTCATGTCAGACTGGCAGGCTGGGTCATCGAACTTGCGACCAATCAGACGCTTGGCATCGAAGATGGTGTTGACGGGGTTCATGGCGACCTGGTTCTTGGCGGCATCTCCGATCAGACGCTCTGTATCGGTGAACGCCACGTAGGACGGGGTCGTCCGGTTACCCTGGTCGTTGGCAATGATTTCAACCTTGCCATGCTGGAACACACCCACGCAACTGTAGGTGGTACCCAAATCAATACCGACTGCTGGTGCCTTGGTGGCTGCCATCTGGAATGAAAGAACGCGCGATAAGTATCATCTGGAAACTAGCAACAATAGTATCATTCGGGTAAACTTTCTAAATGACTGACTCCAGGGTGTCCATTTTAATCAAATTGTACAATCCCCGGTTTAAAAAAAACGTAACCCATCACCTTTGCTTTAAACAAAAAAAACGTTCGTTTACAGGTAATCAAAAATAAATGAGATTTGCCAAAATTCCATGGAATCATGAATTCGTACAAAATCAAAGAGTCTCCTGCAAAAATTGAGCCTTAATGTTTTTAAGTATGTCGGACCAAGCTGCAGAAGAAACGTAGTATTAAGAGTTCTTCAAATCTTTCTAGATTGTGATGCAAAGATGTGTTACTAAAATATTTATCATTATCCAAATTGTCCTGGAGTATTATGAGGATTTTTCATACTTTACTACAGTGAAAGCCATAATATGACAATAATTGTTAACAGATGTGTAAACAAGAGAATATAATTATGGATATGATATAAAATTGATCGATTCCAAGTAACATTGCAGGTTTTATAAACGTGTGCAGGATTCTTGAAGACCAATTAATGGCATACAAGACTAAGATAAAACCAAAATTGTAACTTGGGCTGAGTAGGGGAAATGTCTCTAATGTTGGCCTATGAATCCTAAGATTGATCCCATCGCTAAAATTATCAAGTTCTTCATTTTTTCTTACAACATTGCAACATACGGACAATGCAAATGGGTATTTATGATACACGCTTTCCTTCGAAATTTATGTATGAGCCCAACACTTTGGCCGACATTAGGGTCGATAACCCTATTTATGATATTTCTCGGTGTTATTTGGGTTTTCCCGCATATTTCCCAGAAAATTCTAATTCCAGGTTTATTCGGATTTCCCGGATGGAAGGACACCCTGCGACTCTCTTATGGAGAAAAATGCATGCTTTACAAGACCGTTCCAATAAAATCAATGAACCAACGTGTGCCTCATTCAAGTTTTAAACTGCAATGCAGTGATTCTAGAGAGATAATCTATGTTTAAAGCATAGATATAGTTCAAAGGGGAAACACCCCTTTAAAACCGAACGAACGATATGTGACACATAAAGCATGGCATGGAAATACTTAGGTATACTCTTGAACTCATACCATGCTGCTGCTATAATAAACCTAACCTCATTTCCAGTGTCAGATTTTTGTTCGTCGGATGGTAACAGTGTGTTGGTGTTCCTTGCCAATGCATAACCATGCCACCGCGCATTCCCCGCTCCCTTTTACCGCAGCCTACCGGATACCGCAAGGGGATGGGTTCAGCAATTTAACACATAAAGCGCTATAGCCAACACGCGCTCGATAGGAAAATCGAACAAAGCAAATTGCATTAACCACCGATTAACCCTTAGGTACATTACCGAACCGAAGGCTGCTGTGTAATAACCATTCCCGGAAGAGAACACACTGACAAAGAGCGCTTTATTCGTAAAAATAGACAACCTTCTAGAAATTCATGAATCCAATTCCATAAAAGGGATAACCAGAACCACCGAGCTCGGGGTCAAGGAGCGTCACATTTTCCGCACGAGGAACGGCATCTTTTGAATCACACTACGGAACGTATGTAACACTAAACCGAAATATTTAAATTACATAAGCCTGGAATTTGGAACAATGTCACTATTTCCTCTACTACGTCAACCAAATCGATTGAAATTGAGGTTAAGTACTCCCTTTTTTTTCCATGAAGTTGAGAAAACTTCCAGAACCTTCTGGACTGAAGCGGAAATTTTCCACCTCGTCATGCGAAATCAGAAAATATCCGAGAAATTGCGGAATTATGCTGGAATCCAAGCGGAAATCTAATCCAGCAGCCCCCATCGCGTGCGGAAAGCCATTTTGTTTCCATGTGGGAAAACGGTGGAACTCAAGCATGAGTCATTCAAAAAATTTCACACCCTGCATCGGACAGCAAATTTTGCACTTTTCCCATTTTCCGAATTTGGCGAACTTACCTTTGATTAGATTTAAGTTTATCACTTTCTGTTTCTTCCTAGATGAAAATCGTTCTCCGCACTTCCTTCTTTTCTTGAATGGAGGATCACACACGCACTTTCAGGAACTTAGCACTCCACTTTTTTACGAACGAGAGCTGTTTGCTCTTGATGCTGTTCAGTGTTCAGTAATATAATGTGAGCGAGCGGGAAGCAGCAGCCGATATTTATAAATTACCGGTTGTTCGAGACGTTTCCACGCGCGGATGGTTCATGGTGTGTGTGATCGCGGTGTAGTGCGAAAACTTCCAGTGAAGAGAGAACGGGAGACAGAGCCGTGCGTTTTCGGGAGAAATTCGAGAAAATGCGAGAATGATGAAAGGAAATGCTGCAGAGGCAGAAGAGCAGAAGAGCGACAGCGAGCCGTGTTGCCACATTTTTTTCCAATGTCAATCTGTATTTTCCAAACCCTGTAGGTTTCTTATGGCTTGTTTACGTTTGGAACCAGTTATGCGAGGTAGGCGAAGATTGTTCGTATTTGACAGCCACCTCCCCCCCTTGGTATTTTCACCGTAAAAAATCTGATGAAAATCTGTATATAATATATACAGATTTTTGTCAGATTTTTTCCGGTGAAAATAATAATAATCCCTAATAAAGGGGTACCATACTCTAACGATATCATAGATGGTACGACCATCCCACATAAAGTTGGGATGATATCCCGAATTGGTGGTTAGGCGCTTCTTATGGTTATTGTTTATGCGGGATAATAATAATCCCTAATAAACGAGTATACTCATATATGGTGCGACCATACCAAATAAAGTTGGAATGATATCCCGAATTGGTGGTTAGGCGCTTCTTATGGTTATTATTTAAGCGAGTTTATTATGATCTTAGCGCGGATCTACGTAAATCGCCGTTGAGTTCATTCAAAATTGATAAAAAGTTTGTTCAAAAATTTAGAATCATGGCAAGTAGTTAAGCTTGAAAATTGATTTTGAAAAATCTGTATATGTGGCATCACTGCACGCATGAGACCGCGCGCTATCTTTTTAAGTAGTTGTGATATCGCGATACCCTTTTGTTCTTCGTCTTCTTCTTCTTCTTCTTCATTTTATATAGATCCAAGCGGTGTGGTGTTGGTGTTGTTGTTGTTGGATTTTAGGTTCGTGAGATTGCGCTTGGGGCTCACTAAACACGTATACGTTGCGCGATGTTGGAAAATTCCGAAAATTCACCGCTGGAAAGGCAGTGCTGCCGATTCTACGCGTGCCACATGCGATCTATAATGTTCTAGAAATTCCTCTGAAACATAAATGAATCATGAAAAATAGAGTTAATCAACCGATGGTTGTTTGACGCAATGTGATGTAAAAATATGTGACAATGTGAATTTATCATCTCTTTCGTACTCCCGGTGATTAAATTATTGATGGGCTATGACGCCAAACTCAATCTTGCATTTACCCGTAAAAAAAGAACGATAGAGGTACAATGAAATGTATTGTAATCATACAATTTTAAATACAATAACACAATCCACAACGATAAAACAACCATAGAATTAGTTGTTTCCACTATAGAATCTACGGTAAATGGGGAAATCTACAATAGAACAAGGGGCTTGTTATGTATCTTAACCATACAAAAAATCACTTTTTCCCGAACAAACTTGAGCCATTTTCTAATCATATTATTTCCTTTTATTGTTGAAAATTCATACTATATGGAACGTATTGTAGATCTATTGTAATGACAATATCTTGATGGCAAAAGATTTTGTTGTGATTTTATATTGTTTTATGGTAATTGTATGGTTATTTCTTCCGGGTAAACCTCGATTTAAACAGTGGAGGAACAAAAGATACGACAAATTCTCTGGGCCTCACTAGTAATCCTACACAGATAAAAATTCTGAATTTTAATTGTGATGTTAACATTCATTCACGTAAACTTGTATTTCATTTCACGCAACCGAGCATCTTGCAAGCAATGTCGTCTACAAAGATGGGCTTTTGTCGGCTTTTGTATACAATATTTGCTACATTGCATGAAATGTGTCAGAACTTTACATGATATATAATGAAAACTTATATGATATGTGACGCTCTATTTATGTGCATCATGTTGAACATAAATTTATACTACTTTTTTAGAAATGTGTATATATACTACACACTTAAATTTTTTCGGGATATTCCAACAGCCGAGTAGTTCTGCAATTTATTTTGCTGAGATTCAGTAAAACCTCGGGTAAAACAATTTCCAAGACTCAGCTAACACCTCGGCTAACACCAGGGCTAACACATAAAATATGGTTGTTAGATCTCAGCTAACAACTGTGAATGACTGACCATCAGCTGGAAAGGAATCTGCAGGAATCTGCGCACTGCTTACCTCCACGGTGGTTAGTGATTGAATGACACGAGAATGCAGTGTCCAGTTCGTTGTCCTCGCAACGCTCATCATGGCTGACTACGAGTCCCTGCGATAGTGCTGAATGTTCAGCACACTGCACGGAGAAGCATTGGGTGCTCTTTGCACCCACACATATCTCCCCTTCACTCATAAAATAAAGAATAAGCTAATATTTGTTCCATTAACCAAAGGCAGGGTGGTTTGTTGACCCATCTAAAGAGCCTGAATTTATAAAGAGACGACATCTTATCCATTTGACAGGTCTTCTGCTCGATTGGAATGACTTGACTTTGACAGACAATCGATTGTTCCAATTTTGACATATCGCCTCTTTATAAATTTAGACTCTTTAGACCCATCAATATGGGTATTTTGACATAGGATTGCGTCTTTCGGCAACATATTGGGGGTACAATTTCAAAAAACCAAAATCAACCGCTTTACGAAAAATGCTCAGGATTTGACCACTTATAACGCAATGTTTGTTTTGATTCGCTGTGAAAGTTTGACAGATAAAATGAGGGGTTATTGGTTTTTCCTATGTTTCGAGGGGTGAATCGATTAGCTTGGGACCGAAGAGAGTACCAGAGCTGAGCCAAAAAGTTGAGCACGTTATTTCGGGACCTTCTAGTCTTAGAGTTACCTCTATGTTATAACTTTGTCAATAGCGGATGGATATTAATTCTGCACGAATGTGCAACTGTTTCTATAATAATGAAAATTATCATTGATTGACTGCGAAAAGCGCTTTCCCTGAAACTGATTTAAAAATCGAATTAACTCCGGTCTCACCGAATGTTTGGTGAGTGGTGGTGTCCAGTGGTCATCATCAGCAGCAGCAGTAGTGCTTTTGGTGCGTGGCGTAGTAGATTGTTCTCCAGTACACGACGAAAGGTTGCCCGCAAGCGCGAGCTGCAGCCCACTGAGCGGTCCATTCGCCGAAGAAGGAGGAAGAAGTTGCCCCGCTACTGATCGGATTTCAGTTGCTCGTCGTGAGCCGCTGTGGGCCATCTTTGTCAAGTGCGTCACCGTTCCAAACAAAATACAGCTCGCCAGCCTTATTTGTGTAAAACACCTTAATAGCTCAGCATTACTCAACCATCACGATAAAACGGTCCTTTCCAGGACCACCATAAATTTGGTAAAGAGTATTTTTTTTTTACGTAGGATTACGTATTTCGGCAACATAAAATCAAAATCGACCGCATTAAGAAAAGAGGTCGGGTTTTGACCACATATTACCAACAATCAATACGAAACTAACGATTTTAAATTGGCTCACCACTTTAGTAGCCTATTGGTCCCAAGCAAACGATTAACGTACCCTATTCTAGTTGAAATTCTATTACTACACTATGTTTGTTTTGATTCGCTATGAAAGTTTGACAGATAACATCAGGGGTGTGTGGATTCATGCAGAACATGCAGGGGTGAGTGAAATAGCTTGGGACTACTTGGGACCGTTGTTCTGGTACTGAGTGAGCCAAAAATAATAATGATTTTCTTCGGGACCCAGTGGTCTTAGAGTTACCTCTATGATATTACCATAGAGGTAACTCTAAGACCACTGGGTCCCGAAGAAAATCATTATTATTTTTGGCTCACTCAGTACCAGAACAACGGTCCCAAGCAGTCCCAAGCTATTTCACTCACCCCTGCATGTTCTGCATGAATCCACACACCCCTGATGTTATCTGTCAAACTTTCATAGCGAATCAAAACAAACATAGTGTAGTAATAGAATTTCAACTAGAATAGGGTACGTTAATCGTTTGCTTGGGACCAATAGGCTACTAAAGTGGTGAGCCAATTTAAAATCGTTAGTTTCGTATTGATTGTTGATATTACTCTGTCAATAGCAGATGGATTTAATTCTAAACAAGCCAATCGATTAGAAATTTAGGTACGAATCTACTAAATTGAACACTATATTAATTTTCAATAAGTAGCTACTGAAAATTACACAACTGTCCAACTATTGCAATGGTGATCAAAATTATCAGCACTCTCTGAGGTGCTGCTACTGTCACTACTAGAGATTTCTCGGTTATCCATTATCTCAGAGTCGATTGGTTGTCGATTGGAACATTATTTGGCCGGTTGGTTCGTCAATCACTCAAACATATTTGTCATCATTCGCCATTCTGTTTTCGTTTTAAACGAGGGGGGCGACACATCTAAATCTCAAGTTTAGATGGTCAACAAATCTCACACTAGCGAATCAATCTTCGAACAATCTTCTTTCATTTGTCACATCTACTTGCATCGCTCATCAATTTTTTGCAGGAAATCTTCAGAATCGTCATCAATCTTCTTTCTATCTACTCAGCGTGCGCGCAGCTAGCCACAGCAAAACACAATCTTTTTTGCATCGTAGATAGAGTCGTCCCCCTCGGTTTTAAATACCTTGTATTGTAATACTGAGGTTGCTCTCAGTGGTAATTCTAGGCTCCGCTCTCGGGTCCACGCGATCAAAAGATCGGCTGGGCGATTTTTTTCCCATCCGCTCTATTAATGCGCGATGTTTTCGATCCGCTCTCAGATGCGCGATCGTAAGATCCGATGATAGAAACTTATTTTCCTTGTTTCATGCGCGACCTTACCGATCTGCTTTTCAAATGCGCAACGTTTTGATCCACTTGCGCGACTTTGTAAGTCCGCTTCCCCAATGCGCGACCTATCTGATCCGCTCATCTTTTGCACAATCTTAGAAGATTTGCGTTTTATGCATATACATAAAATTGAAGCGTGATTTTTCCATCCGCGCAATCTTACCT